ATCAACGAATAGAAATTTATTTGTTATTTTTTTTATTTAAAAAAAAAAATTTTGCCACATTTTTTATCGCTTTGTATTTTGAAAAAAAAAAAAAACGAAATTTAAATTACTTTAGGTATAAAATATATATGAAATTAATGATGTAATTGAATTTCATTTAACTGAAACATTAATAAATGAGTAATGTTTTTTTTTTTTCTTTGCAATTTGTAATTTTGAGTTGTTGTTTGGATAAAATTATTGTTTTTTGTTCAATATGTGAATAATTTTGAATCATGAAATTTGGAAAAATGAATGTGAATAATCAACATGTGAATAGTGAATAATTTTTTTTGTTATGATAAATTATTGTTGAAATTCACAGGTATTATCAACAGAAAATCGACAGGTATTCCCATCATTTTTCATTAGCACTATGATATAAATACCATAATATTGCTATGGAAACGATTCCATAGTTTATTTCAAGATTTTTCTTTTCCTGAACTTTTTTAAAATGTTTTTGCTCGTATTTATGATAACTTTCAGAAAGAAAAATACTGTATTCCACTACCATGGCCCGATTATTGCTGCGCTACCGTAATCAAGTTACTGTTACACTACCGTAATTATATTGTTTGCTCGCATTACTGTATGCAAATGTGTATTACCTATTAATTATGTAGTAGATTCAGATTTTTCGTAATTTTATTTTTGGCAATGAAACATCTTATAATGTTATTGCCTCGATTTATTCAATCTTGATAAGTGTTCTCATTTGTCGGTAGAACAGCTCAGTTTATTGAATGTTCAAATATTTATCTCGCACAGTAATTTGATTCTGAAAATTTTTTGTAGCTTTACGGTATTTGATTTAGTTAAGTTAATTACTTACTCTACGTTTATGACTAATCATTTCCTTTACCTATTCTGTTATATCCATTTCGTTCTATTATCTTTAATATATCTATTGATCTACCGTAACCAAAAGATATTTCCATTACTATATCATAGATAAACGTTGAATTTAACAGACAATACAGCATTACCATGTTTAGATTGAAATATTTGACAGTTAAATTCCTTAATTTAGGCGAAATATGGGAACAATGTGTAATTCAACTATTCGTGTAGCACTATTACTATTTATTGGTGTCAATCATACTGTATCGTTATTCTGTTATATGGTACATTGGGATGCATATTCGTCATTTACGGAGAGAGTTTATAAATGTAAAGATGACGAAGAATTTTGTGCATCCTTGGTACTTCACTTTTTGCAAATTTTCTAATTATTGAGCAAATGTTAAGTAATTAATTAACCTTATAAAGTTTCGTATCATTAAATCAGGCCGAAACAAATTAAATTGATCGTTTAAGTTTTCAACAATTTGTGAAATCAGGAATGTATTTGAAAATTTAATTAATACATAATTCTTTTGATATAATGTTTTAATTGTTATTACTTAAAACAAATACGTTTAGTGAGGAACAGTTAACAACTTGACGTTTTAATTTGAAAGATTTTTTTTATTTCTTCGTTTCCATAAACAATAAGTTTATTTCCTACAGTATGATCGGAGTGCTGAAAGTTGGTATCTTCGAGCAATACCATTGGATAAGAAATGTTATTCTGTTGCCGAGGTAAAAATAATCATATCCATTATTCAAATTCTAAGAAATTTGTATAGCATCTGAGTTGGATAAAAAAACAAAAAAAAAAAAGAAATGAATCGATAATATTTAAACACCGTATAATTCATGTTGATTACAAAAGTATTCTACGGTGCTTTCTACAGTATGATTAACATCTTTTTATAAAATTGAAAATTAGTGCAGTTACTTGCTGTGCACAATATTAATTGAATGAAGATCTAATGTTATGATATGATTTCAGTTGAGAAGTAGAATAAACTGCAGCAAAAATATATTCAAGGAAGGCTGTTTCATGGATCCAAGATATAACAGTTATTTGAGAAGTACAAGAGCGTTACCGGTTTGCATTTGCAAAGGCGATTACTGTAATACGCAAGAAAAAATTGAAAATATATGGTTGGAGCAAAATCTTTACAGATTTCATGATCCTGAAGATTGTCATGCTATAGGATTATCACAATTAGATAAAGCAACAACAATAACAACTGCTGTAAAAGTGACTGCTGCAGAAACAACGGAATCAAGTCAAACAACAACAGCAACAATAACTGCAAAAGCAACAACAACAGCTGCTACAGAAACGTCGGAATCAAGTCAGACAACAACAACAACAACTACTACTACAACTACAAAAGTAACAACAACAACTGCTGCAGAAACGTCGGAATCAAGTCAGACAACAACAACAACAACAACAACTGCAAAAGAAACAACAACAACAACAACAACTGCTGCCGAAACAATGGAATTAGATACAGAAGCAACAACAGCTGATATAAAAGTGTTTCAACTGTTTTATCCAGATGAGGAAACCGGAAGGAATGTAACGCAAACGTTGGAATCAAATACAAATGCAACAACAACTGACATACAAATGTTGCAACCAAATGAGAAAAGCGGAATAAATGCAACGGAAACGTCGGAATCGGAATCAAATCAGGAAGGAAAAATAGCTAGTAGAGGAATATTGACAACAAATCAGGAAGTAAAAAGTGCTACAGAAAAGTTGGAATGAAGTTAGAAGAAGAAAACAAGAAGTGCATTATAGGAGATAGAATGAAATTAAAAAGCATCAGAAACTATTTCCTTTCCTAGCTTCTACTCCAACTATAAATCCCGACTGCTACGCCACTTCGACCATAATCCAGACTAATATTATTATTGGAAAGAAAAAAAAACCAATAAACAAATAAATTAAAGTAATTTCAGGAGTGCATTTAATTTGGAAACTAAAAATCAGTGTGTAAATTCATTGTATTTATTGAAAAAAGCTTAATTTGTCTCTATGATCTGTAAAAAAAAAAAAAAAACGAAAAAA